CATTTGAATCCATTAAAGGCTTTGTTATAGAGCAGATGAATGGCACATATGTTATTTACCTGTTGCCGCCAGTATGCACAAGGCCGGATTTACTCTCTCTGCTGCCCCAAGGCCAGGTGCCCCCTTCTCCGCCAAACCCCCCCACCCCAATGAAGAATGGCAACCAAATGGCAGGGGGTAGCAGGGTTAGTTTTATTTTTATTTTTCTATATTCTTCTAACATTTTTTATTTTTACTTTTCTATTTTTTTATTTATCTTTATCTCAGGAGATAACAAGCTCCTGCGTGATAGCATTTGGAGGTGACAGGTTCTCTTTATTAAAGCTGTCACTTCCAATACAGGAGTTCCAACACAGGCAACATGGCGGAAGGCTTTAACACCATGCTGCCGCACTGCCCCCAACAGTAAGGAGGTGGTAAGATGGGCTCCTGAGCATGTGACCACTGCCCATGGTGGGCTCCTGAGCATGTGACCTCTTTGACAGCCAGTCACAAGAATGGAAAGCCCAGGAAGTGCCTCTGACATTACAAAAACCCTTAAAGGGCCGGCAGGAGCTGGAAGAAAGGGGTTAATTAATGTGTGCAGCTGTTTTTAATTATAATCTGATTTACAGATGATGACATTGGGTTGTCACGCTCTCTCAGAGACACAACAGAAAGTTAGAGGAAAGTGAGGGGAATTCCTCTTCAGGACCCTAGAGTCTAAAGCAGGGGTGGGTAACTCTGGCCACCCAGCTGTTGTGGAACTGCAAGTCCTACGAGGCATTGCAAGACTGACAGTTACAGGCCTGACCCCAAAAGACAGAAGCATGTTGGGATTTGTAGATAAAGCACATCTGGAGGGCCGGTGCTGCCCATCCCTGGTCCAGAACCTTTGTCCTGTTTTATTGTGTCCTGGCTCCGACTTCTGAACTAGGGAAAGCAAAATAATTTTGCCTAATTAAAATCCAACTACGTCTGCACAAGGACTATCGGTCTCAGGTGGCATCTCATTGGGTCATGTAGGGGGGCATTTGTGCCTTCCTGCCATTTTCCTGGGAGAGCGTTCCAGCTTGCTAAGAGGTCAAGGCAACCTGTGATGCTCTGGATGGCGTCCTGCCCAGCTTCAGGCAACCAATGAGGTCAGTGAGCTGGGTGGAAGGCTAGAGGTAACATCCCCACCCCCATGCACCATCAACATACACCCCTTCGCCCAGTCTCATCGTTCACCATCAGAATCCCACAAACCTCCCCTTCTCCGGTCTCAACAAGCACTGCCAACAAAAACCCTCCCCAATCTTGTTGTGCACTGCCAGCACCCCCCTTGTACCACCCTAGTAGTATAGAACTATGTGTCCCAGGTTATGAATGAACAGGAAGTGCTTTACATCACTTCCTGTTCATTCATGAGTTTCTGCATGGGTAGTAGCACTCACTATAGATGCTTCTCCCCATTCATAAACTGATTGATAGCAAATATTTTACTATCACCAGTTTTTTAATTAATGGGAAGACTCTGTACTGAGTGCTTTACATTCATTGAGTGCTGAGGCTGCGTAAAAAGAGATCGAGGACTCTGTGTCCTCAATTTCTTTTTCTATTTCAAAAAGGAAATGTCAGGAGTCTGTTAAGACCCCTGATATTTCCCAGAAGCTCCCCAACAGTAAAAAAAATAAAAATGAAAAAAAATAATACAAAATAATACAAAAAAACACATCCTCGATGCGGGGTGCATGACGTCACATGACGCTACACGTGCACGGCATCGGGTGGGGGGCACAATTTTTTGATCTTGCCTCAGGTGCAAAAGGAGCTTACTACAGTTCTGCCCTAGGGACACCTCTGGGTAGATGGATAGAGTGATGAACAGGCGAACACATGAACGGACGGAGGGGGGAAGGGAAAGATGAATGGACTATGTCCTTATAAACTTCTACCAATTGAAAATTTTTTATATAACTCAACTGTAGCAGTAATTGAAAATAACTATAAATCAACTTTTTTTTATCATTCTGTCACAATTTTTTACCAGCTGTTAAAAACAACAACTCCCAGACAAAATTCTCACTTGGAAATAAAGATATCTCGCCGTCCTATCTCAGGACGCACATATCATCACAGCTTGTTCCTAGAAAATTGGATTTCATTGAATAACAAGATACGAGCCGAGGAATAAACTGGGACGTGAAGTTCAGCCCTCAAATAATATCCTATGAAAGAACCTCATTTGCGTTTCAATTTTGTAATGATTATCAGCAGCTCTGGTAACGGATTCCTCTTTTTTTGTGTACGGGCCCGATGGGGGTCGGAGGTCTCCGGGAGCTGACCCTCTAATTGAATTTGTGGCCCGGTGTGTTGCAGTTGATTGTAGGGTTGCCCGGAGATTCACACAGATAATTGATTGACCCTCCGACCCAACATTGTCAGCGCCACCTCCAACACATTAACGGAGGGCAAAGAGCAGGCCGACTCAAACTAAAAAAGCGGCTTTATGAAAACCATTAGCATAAAAAAAGCTGATGCCACCTGTGAAATGTGGTGACGGATTATCAGGGCAGCGTTAGGGCTTGTAGAGCGGGATTCAAGAAACAAAATTAAAGCTGACGTTACACATTTTTTTGGGGGGGGGGGGGCAGGAGGGGAATGCACCACCAACCACAGACATGCTTAAAGGAGAACTATGAGATGAGTGCTTTTCACTCACCTCATAGTTCTAGCCGACCTGTGACAATGAGACTGTCACAGGTCGGCTCAGTAGATCGGGAGGTGAGCGAACACATACCGGCGTTCGCTCACCTCTCGATCCTGTCACGGTGGAGATTCTGTTATGCAACTGCTCTTCCTCCATTCACAGAACTCAATGCATTGTCTCCTTGTGCTGATTGCTCAAAGTACAGGATCGGCTAGAGGCAAAACTAAAGGCAGGGGTATGCATATGATGAGGAGGGCACAGTTTGCAATTTGGTTACCCCCCCTTTGAAAACATTGCACCTGAGGATGCCGCCTAGACATGTAAGCTGTGGAAAAATTTGGTTTGGATATTTTGTTATTTTGGGATTCATATCCGAAATTCAATTCGGTTCGGGTTTCGGATTCGGACGAAATCCAAATTTTCGTTAGATTCGGATGAGTTTACGAATATTCGTTGCGAATACCACAGAAAACCATATACAGATATTAATACTAAAGCTGAATCTCCCAGACCCGAATGGAATTCATGATCCGAATTTCCGAAATGCATTTGGGAGCTCCCAAATGCCATTCGGGGCTGGGAGCCTCAGCTTTAGTAATATATGTATATGGCTCCCAGACCCTAATGACATTCGGGAACTATTAAATGCAATTCGGAAATTCGGAACACGAATGACAATCAGGTCCGGGAACCATATACATATATTGCTAAAGCTGAGGCTCCCAGCCCCGAATGGCATTTGGGAACTCCTGAATGCAATTCAGAAATTCGGATCCTGAATGCCATTCAGGTGTGGGAGCCTCAGCTTTAGTATTATATGTATATACTGCACGTTGCTCCCATGTTGCCGTAACGTAAATTTGCATTCAGACCCATTCGGATGCATTAAACCAAAAAACATATCTGATTGTCCAGAAAAGTCACATGTCCGATTCAGTTTAGTTTTTGAACGAAATTCAGACGGGATCCAAAATTCGGAAACGGAAATTCAGATTCGGACACATTCGGATGCATTGGGATTTGGAAATTCGGATGTGTTCGAATGTCCGAATTTCAGAAAATGCCTCCGAATTTTGATTCGGAATGAAATAAATCACACATTTACCACTTTGCACTCAAGGCAGCTGCCCTCCAGCCCCCCACTTATTTCAGTCCTGGCTCCAGGTAAAGCAGTGTATCAAATAGGCATCCTTTAAGATCTGCATGCTCCTAACTGGCTGTCAAGGATTACATGGGATGTTCCCAGCTTAAGTGTTTTTAAACATGACTTGTTCCTTCAGTGTCTTCTCCTGTGCATTTTTGTTGCCAAACCCATGCTTTCTGCTACCGTACAGAAGACATGTGCTTTACAGAAATCATGAATGTATGTCTCTGGGAAGGCATTGAATGCACCAGGTACATTGGTAGCATATCATTTACATTTTCAAGTGGAACTGTAACCTCTTATTCTGTACAGCCAAGAAAGGTGCCATCTTAGCCTCAATGTGGCTTGTGGTTGCCATGGAGATGCACATGTGATCAGCTATGACACCAGCCATTTGCCGTGCCTTGAAACTGTTTTGGAGGACCACTGAACTGTTTTAACCTGGTAGGTCTAGTTACACTTAAATTTTAGCACTGAGGCACAATTATTTTTTTTAGACCTCTGCTAATGCCAGTAACTTAAAAGAAAACTATGGGGTAACCTTTTTATCCCATAGTTCTCTTAAGAGTCAAGGGAGGACATATACTAACATTCTCCCTTGACCCAAAGCTCAGTATATAGCGAGCTGTATACTGAGAGCACTGCAGCTGGGACGGATCCCGACAATACTGTCGATATCCACCCAACTGATCTAGTGGCAAAGCCAGCTGTGCCCGCCCCCTTCCTGTCCGTTCCTGCAGTCAACGCTGGAGGATCGGAGAGGGGAGGGGGAAATCCCTGCGGGGAGCGGTGACTGACAGTCACAGCTCTCTGCAGGGAGATGGTCGGGAAGTGAGCGAGCAACGGTATGTGTTTGCTCACTTCCCGATCAATAGAGCCGATGCGTGACAGTTTCAATGTCACACGTCGGCTCTAACTATGAGGATGAGTGAAAATCGCTCACCTCATAGTTCTCCTTTAAGTTTAACAGTACAAGCTTGGCCCACTATTGTCCCAGCACTGTGACGGTCTCAATGGCCAATAGAGGCTGTCAATCACAGTACTGGGCCACAGTACTTTTTTAAAGGTGGAGCACCCTGGGAATTGAATCTTTTCATTGGGTAAGATGAACTTCATATGGCTTTCCATTGGAGATTTGCAAACTTAAATGCATAACAAATGCTTGGCAATATGACAACCACTTACTTTCACAGAGTCTTCTTCTCAAAATCCCTCTGATTTTATCAATGGCGTTATAATCAGAGACATGGAAAACATGGGCTGATTTGGGCTCCGAAGCTATTTCCTCCAGTTCTTCCTTGAGCGCCTCCCCAGTACCTACAGCAAAAATCCTAATTCCAGCCTTATGTGCTGCCGTGGCGGGCTCCAGCACCAGGTCTTGACTTCTGCCATCTGTTAGCAAAATGGCAACCTTTTTAATGGCACGTTCTTTGGGTCGCCCACCCGCCTCCTCGGAAAAGCTGTACGTCGTGATGTATCTCAAAGCATCTCCGGTGTTCGTGTTTCCTCCATAGTACTTAATATTCCTGGCAGCCTCCTTCACGTCCTCAAGAGTCTGATATCTTCCCAGGTCGAATTCTGTGTAGGGTTTACCGCTGTACCTTACTACCCCAACCCGAGTCTTGTCCGGTTCAATCTCAAAAGTGTCCACCAGGTTAGAGACCCACTGGCGGACCTTCTCAAAGTCCTTAGTGCCTACACTTGAAGATGTGTCCAAGATGAAGACCAAGTCGTAATGGACATTCTTACAGCCTGAAAAGTTAGAGGAGAAACATTTCAAAAACATTCTATAGGAACCACAGTGAAACTACAAGTCCCATGAGGCATTGCAAGATTGACAGTTACAAGCATGACTCCCAGAGGTATTTGTAGTTAAAGCACAGCTGGAGGACCAGAGTTGCCCACCCCTTCAATAACTAATAGACATGTAAGCTGCGGAAAAATTTGGTTTGGTTTGAATATTTCGTTATTTCAAGATTCGGATCCAAAATTAAATTTGGTTCCGGTTTCAGATTCGGACTAAATCCGAATTTTCGTTAGTTTCGGATGAGTTTTCGAATATTTGTTGTGAATACCACAGACACCCTTATACAGATAATAAAACTAAAGCGGAAGCTCCCAGACCAGTATGGCATTCGGGAGCTCCCAAATGCAATTCGGAAATTCCGATCCTGAATGCCATTCGGGTCTGGGAGCCATATACATATATTACTAAAGCTCAGGCTCCCAGACCCAAATGGCATTTGGGAGCTCCTGAATGCAATTCAGAAATTCAGATCCCGAATACCATTTGGGTCTAGGAGCCTCAGCCTTAGTATTATTTGTATATACTGTATATGGCTCCCATGTTGCCGTAATGGAAATTCGTATTCAGACCCATGCAGATGCATTAGACGGATGTCTAATGCATCTGATGTCTTGTAACTAATAATATTTTTTTCCTACAGTGAATTATTTTCTGGCAACCTGGGAATTATTAGCTGATATGGCGGTGGCGCCATGAGCAGGACTCATTTTTGCAGAAAGGATTGCGAGTTTCCTGAACTGATAATGATGTTATATGCTTAGCAGAGTTCTTACAGATCCCTCAACAATTTCCTTGTTTGAAATTTAATCTACGTCTTACGATTTGACATTTTAATAATCCCTTCCCCCCCCCCCTTTCCCAAAAAATTGAAAGACGTTCATTCGGAGTTCTTTACAGGCATAAATCTTTTTATTTGATAAATACATCTAAAGCACTTTGCATGTATTAAGCAGGTTCACCCCCCCCTTCCCGTACCCTGGAGATTCTTTTCATTGTGTTTCGTCCCGCCGCCTTCTTTGTCTGCGGCTTTCAGAAAGAAGAAGATTGAAAAGGTCACTGGTGGATGTCAAATCTTTTCCTGACCTCTATCATAAGTAACAGGGCATTATGAAAGGCGCTGTGAAAACCGGTGCTGGGCAGAATTTGAAGAATTTTAATGTGGATTTTTGAAGGACGTGTCGTGGGACTACAAGGCCTATGGAGGAATGGGAGGAAAGAACTTGGAGTTTTTTATTTTTACAACATTTTTAAATAAATTGGAAGATTTTGGCAACATTTTGGTGAAATGTCTTTGGGTCAATGGGGAAGGTGAAATTGAGGTGACTTTTGATGGTTTTTCATGGTGCAAATAGCACCCTGAGCAGAGATGGACAAACTCCAGACCTCCAGCTAGGGTGAAACTACAAATCCCATGATGCATCTGTCTCTGGGAGTCATGCCTGTGGCTGTCAGAGTCTTGCAATGCCTCATGGGTTAGTTGCACCACAGGTGAAGGGCTGGAGTTGGAATACCGCTGCTCTATAGTAATACCCTTTGCTTCTCCCCCAACAGCTACATAAAATGTTAAATGAGAATCTTGCAATGCCTCATGGGATTTGTAGTTGCTCAACAGGTGGAGGGCCGGAGTTTTCCCACCCCTGCTCTTGAGGGTTACAGGACCTATTCCTGACCTGTTCATGTGCTTAAAAGAGAACTATGGGGTAAGTGTTCTTCCACATAGTTCTCTTAAGGGTCACGGGAGGACATATACTATCCTCCTCCGATGACCCAAAAGTCAGTATATCACGAGCTACAGCTCACTATATACTGAGAGAGCCACAGCCGGGACGGATCCTGACATTACTGTCGAGATCCACCCAGCTGCGTGAATGACAGCTGGCTCTGCCTATCTAGAGGCAGAGCCAGCTGTACCCGTCCCCTCCTCCTCCTCCAGCCAGCGCTAGGTAGGTCTTCGCTCACTTCCCGATCTATTGAGCCGACGTGTGACAGCTTCCTTGTCACATGTCAGCTCGAACTATGAAGATGAGTGATTTTCACTCACCTCATAGTTCTCCTTTAAAGTTTTTTCTTGCTTATATGTTGCCTATCCCGGTCCTCCCTCCATCCCCATCTGCTTGCTAATTAAAATATTTTTTTTAAATTAAATTCTTAATTTTGGAGACACTCTGTCCTTCTCTATTCAATGCAGACAGATCACGGCTGATGGGAGGGGCCGGCAGGGTGCTGTACGTAGCTTCCTGAAAACATCCCAGGCTCAGTACTCCTCTCTAAAGCCCTCAGCCCTGATGCAAGCCTTGGGCTGGCTCTTGGGTGGAGTTATGCAAACATTAAAAGGTGTTTGATGGGTGGCTGTCAGCCTGGAGGAGCGGGCGTTTCTAGGGAGGTTGTTTTTGCGTGCAGACCGCCCATATGCGATGCCGAGCCTCCTAGATTAAATTAACTGAAATGCAAGTCAAGGTTTAGACTTCACGTCTGATTGACCATTTATGTTCCTTTGGTTATTGGTTATAAAAAATATTCCTGCCCTTCTTTCCAAAAATTTATACTTTGGTGCAGATGCGGGGTCATTTACCTAATATGGCCACATAGCCTTATTAGGTAAATATGATTTACCAAATATGGGTATGTAGCTATATAAGGTCAATGACATCACTACATGCCTCCCCTTTGGTCAGGAAATGCCCTACTAGGAGATGATTGGGTGGCACGGAAGGAGATTCCTTCCATGTTCGGGAGCAGCTCCTTCCGGATTCAGAGAAGCTTTGGTTTGGACCTGAGCACATCCCTAATAAACAGCAAAAGAACGCTTGAAATACTTGCCTGTAGAAAATGTTGCTCTAGGCTACCACCAGTGCTTGTCATGTGACCAAAGGCCCAGGTTTTGATCATCACTGAAGGGGAGAATGAGCCAATTATGACCCTCAACAGACATCACATAATTAAGGGCCCAGGCCTTTTACAAGTTGTCAGCACTGAAGGGAGCAGCATTTCTCCGGGAAAGCTCAGTTGCTTTTAAAGTGATACTAAACTCAGGAGTTAAATCTTAAAAATACATTCAGGCATCTTATTTGTGTATCACTCGGCTGTAGATCCTCAAATCATCTCTGAATTGGTGCTGATATTGTCCTTCCTTCTGGAGGGGGGCTACTTTTGTTCCCCATGATCCCTGTGCGTGTTGTAAAGTAGTCACCGCTCCAAGCTCACTCCCAGCGTGGACTATAATTTCAATACAGACATGAGATTGTAGTCCATCTCGGGAGCGAGCTTGGAGCGGTGACTATTTTACAACACACACAGGGACCATGGGGAACAAAAGTAACCACCCTCCAGAAGGAAGGACAGTGTCAGCACCAATTCAGAGATGATTTGAGGATCTACAGCCGAGTGATACACAAATAAGATACATTGTTGTTAATAGTTAAGGTATTTGAATGCATTTTTAAGATTTACCTCCTGAGTTTATTGTCACTTTAATTCATCCATTTCAGGAAGCCTATTAGCATAGCTTCACCATTGCGTTCGAGCCTAGACCCTTCACCCCCAAGTTACGGTGACGTACCAGCTCTTTGTGCCTGAGAGTGTCCTCCTCCAAACACCAGGACCAGCATCAACAACACCAAAGCAGATATTCGATATCCCTGGCTCTTCCGCATTCTTCCTTTCCTGTTTTGCCTTACAGGGTGATGGGGTCATTAAAAACATTCACCTGTTTAAAAAGAAAACAATCATCTATTAACCATTCTTCATGTATGGCCAGACATAGTCACAGGACATAGAGGGGAATATATAAGGCTGGAACAGAAAGAATCTAGAGCAGCTGTACACAGGAACCAATCAGCTTGCAGCTTTCATTGTCAAAGCTTCACTGAACGAACAGACGATAGAAGCTGATTGGCTGCCATGCAGAGCTGCTCCTGTGTTAGTGAATTTCACACATAATGTTTTCATTGACGCACTTTTTTAGCTCATTTTAACAATGAAAATGTTTCTTTTTTTTAATTTATGAAAGATTTTAATCACATGGATCTGTTGGGTTTACTGTATGCCGGGGCGTCCCGAGGCCGGGTGTCACCCGGAGCGGAACATCATCGCGCATGTGCGGCCATCCTATTGGTACCTGCCAGCGGCCATCAGGGTGATGGACGCCAGCAGAAAGAGGAGTGGACATTCACCCAGCAGAATAAGGTATGCCACCGTGTCCCCTCCTCTCTCCTGATACTGTCTGGTCTGGGTCCGACTTTTCAGAGGGAGTGACACCAAAATGACTGTCAGTCATTTTGGTGTCAACACTCCAATGGTGTCACCCGGGTACGGGCCACACCCACCTTGTGATGCCACTGCTGTATGCATGTTATAGTATAATTTTTTGCTTTAGTCTATATGTTACAGTCAATTCACAATGTCAAACTCTCCCTCCATCTGAGTCTATCAACAGCCTTCGGAGTGACCCCCACCCCGGTGCTAAGAGGTACCTCCGTGTGACTCATTTTTCTTAAATTAGATAGTTTTGTTAAAATAACAACATTGATTTTTTTCTCATATTTAAGGGGAATTATTCATGTTTGGGTGAATTTTATTTTACATTGAAAAGCTTGGAAAATGATGTTTTATATATATTATATACAGTATTACATTATTCTAGGGCTGGTAATGATTAAAATTTTCGTGTTCGATTAATCGAAATCTTTGTAAATTGATTAATCGATTAATTTCGACTAATTATAACGCACCTACAGATCCAAATACATTGGCCTATACACATACAGCACAGTAATGAAGTCATACAATGAACTAGGATCACAGTAATCCAGCACGTTATTAATCTCACGTGCCCCACTCAATATGGCCGCCGCTTGAGTGGGGCAACTCAAAATAATAACGTGCTGGATTAGTGTGATCCTAGTTCATGTTATTACTTCATTGCTGTGCTGTATGTGTATAGGCCAATGCCTTGGCTGGCGCTCATGCAGAAAGTTTCATGGGCAAACTCACCGGCCCAAGTGGCTCCATCGGCTAACGAAGGGGGGAGGAGTCCGGTGACGTCACGGACATCGACACCACCGGACTCCTCCCCTTCCCTTCGTTAGCCATCACGGACATCGACGGACTCCTCCCCCCTTCCCTTCGTTAGCCGACGGAGCCACTTGGGAGAGGAGTCCGGTGACATCGATGTCCGTGACGTCACAGGATCGCTGACGAGACTCCCGGAAGCCGGCGGAGAGGTGAGTGTTTTCATTAGCGATCAAAATAATTTTAATCGATCAAAAAGTTTAACGATTAATCGAGAAATTAATCTTTAATTTCCCCAGCCCTACATTATTCCAAAGCTACCAACTCTCCCTAATTGGGAACCAAGTCCCTCAGTCCATCTTTCTTCCTCAGTTGTCCCTCTTTTTGGCCCAATGTAAAGATCGCTACTAAAAAAATTTATTATTTAGCTATGAGAAGATTTTAACTGTACTAAACAGTTTATCAAACCTTGAAATTATTCCATTATTCCAAGCAAAATAAGGTAAAAAGCAGTGATGGAAAAAAAATCTATTTTGGGTTAAACCAATCATTTTTTGACCAATAATCCCTCATGGTTCATGTTACTGAAGGCGTGGCAGGGACGTGTCCTTTGCCTACTTACTTTGTGCTATCTTGCAAAGTTGGGAGGTATGTTGATTGTCAAATAACTATTTAACACCCGACAAAGGATTGCCATAGCACTATGCGGTATCTAAACAGACAGCACAGCAGTAGTTATTGCCTTTCAGATAACTTCTTGGACCTTGGGCAGAATTCTCCATTGTGGAGGAGTTATCGTTCTGATTCACTTGTGTGTGAAAATTTCAACTTGAGCTATGGAGCTCTATACACACTCCAGTTTAAAAAACAAAACACAAAGCAGGTGAATAAGAGGCCAAAGTGCCACCAGTATACCTGCCTGTCTGAGAGACAGTCTCTATAAATGAGCAGAGGTGTCATAATACTTTTCATATGACACCTCGGCTCAGACACCCGAATGGCATTTGGCAGCTCACAAATAGCATTCGGGAGCTCATTAATGCTATGTTGCATTTGACAACTGAGAATGTCAAATGGGCAGAGCGAGCCTTGATGTCACGGCTCGCTCCGCCCATCTGTTTACTTTCGGCAGGAGATGTCATTTTGCGGCATTTTTTCCCCCTCAAATGTCACTTTGCTGAATCCGAATCCCGAAACGAATTTACTTTAGGGCCGGAATCCCGAAAAACGAAATATCGCAAAATCCAAATGAAAACTAAAAGTTTTTTTTGCTGGTGCACGTGTCTAATAGAAGCTATAGGAACAATGTTAATTTTAAAGTAATAACTAAATAGTTCCAGACCAATAGCATTGCTGGCCAGTCTCTAAACATACATTTCCACAAAAGTCTTTTAGATGAAGGTTGAAAAATTTTTTTCCGGTTTACATTGTAACCGAATCCCGGAGTCTTTGTTTTTTTATCACCCTGATGTATATTTTAGTCAAAGCCAAAATCATAAACATGAGCTCATCTTCAAAGCGTCGGGTGGAAATGACCTCAGGAGATCTTGTTTCTATTTTAATGTGGAAAAAAGACACTACAGAAGTATGTGACATCACCCGAAATAGAGGAGCCTGTTCATGATGTCCTAATCAGCTCACGTCAGAGGTAAAAGTACCAGAAAAGTGTCCCTAAGGGAAACCTGTCCTGAGAGATTAATGAGGGGTGCAAAATGACCAGACAAGTTACAAAGAAGCTAAAAGGAACCAAAAAGTCCTCCAGTAAGAAGAACCTTTTTAACGTGTATCTGAATGTCTCACTGGTGTCACTAATTCCAAAAAGAAAGAGGGATTTCCTATTTTAAGATACTGGATGAAGCCAAGAAGATTGTTCCTTTTTACTCCTGGGCCCACTACAAATCCAGAACCGCTGGTTAAATCACAGATACAACCTAATCATTGCGTTCCAATCGGCAGGCAGCTTTTTCGGGCTTGTTGGCCATCATCATAACCTGTGTGGTAGTACTTTCTCATTGATCCCCAAGCCGTGCTCCATAGAAGTCATGGTTTCCATGACTTCTGCACTCACTGCACTCATCATGGAAGCAGTAGGCAGGACACTATGGTTGGCACACTCGTTATCCAGGTCTACTTAGAAGTATGAATATAATTGTTGAGCAGAGGACATAGAGAGGGTTCTTCACAGTACATACTTCAGGATTAGGGATGGGCTCGATGTTCGAGTCAAACAATAGTTCGACTAGAAATCGGTAGTTCGACGAACGCACAAACTCTCAGGGCGTTCGGCGGGCTATTCACCCGCCGAGCACCACACACGGCACTGCGCACCGCACAGTGCCTTGTGAAGCCCTGTTTGGGTAAAGCAATGCACCTGAGGTGCAAGACTTTACCCAATCACAGCACAGAGAACTGTGAGAGCCATGATTGGGCAAAGTAATGATGACTCTGGAAAAGCACCCTCCCAGTGCCAAGAGCATGTGGCCTGGTATGGTGGGGGGGTGGAGCTTGCTCGTCCCACCCCCTTTCCTGCCCTGCCAGGCCTGTGCTTGGATCAAGAGCCATTTTTGGGGGTGGGGTTGCTCTTTAAAATTCCTACCAGACCTAAAGGGTCTGGTATGACTTTTGGGGGGGGGGGGGGGGTGGGGGACTGCTTTCATTGAGTTTGAGTTCGAATTCAAACTTTTTCCATGTTCTAAAGTTTGAATTGAAACCGAAAGTGGGTGTGTTTAACCCATCACTATTCAAGATGCACCCAATCCCACATGTGAGGATCACTATGGAGTCTGGGTATTTTTTTAGACATATTAAATGAACATTAAAGGACAGTTTCAGGACAAAAAAAAGGGGAATTTAGCCCGGAGTATATTTAAAAAAATAAATAAAAAGGCAGCTGCTATACTCACCTGATCTCTGACATTGTCCTTTGCAGTCTCACTGATCCAGGGATGCTGCATGTCTCCTTAAAAGACACCTGGGGAAAACAAATCTTGCAAAAACATTTCTTTGGGCCCCAGGGGGGTTCCTTGAGTGAGTCAGCTTAATAACAACTCCCCTCCTCCCCTCCAAGCAGACAGTGTGCCTGAGCAGTGAGCAAATGCAGAACTAGTGCTGGGCTTTCTAAACAGAGTCTACTGTACACATTGAACAATGGAAAAACAGTTTTAAATATTTATTTTAAATGTTATAATTGTATTTTAGATTTATTTTAATAATAATTTAACTGTATACTAAAGAAAAATAACAAACATCTGGTTGTAAATTTATGAAACTGATATCGTTTGCCCTTTTTAAATGAGGAAGGACCCTCCTCACAGTGCAATAGTTGGATTATGCAGCACACACACATCAGCTAACAGCCCAACAAACTGACATGTAAAC